AGACCACGAAACCAAAGGAGATATCAAAATTCGTCATGTAAGCATCGAAATGCAACTAGCCGATATCTTCACAAAGCCCCTCAATGAGTCAAGGTTTTGTGCTTTACATAGTGAGCTAAATATACTTGATTCTCGTAACGTGGTTTGAATTTTAGCATGCCGCTGTTTGATAAACTAGTATCTAGGCAAAAGAGTTGAAAATTTTCATATTGTGCTTGAAAATGATCTCTAAAAGACAACTTATATATCATGATCATGGTCTGTATTGATTATTTATTCCTGATCATGATATATAGGCGATATGTGTCCATATCTTAAATAGATAGAGTCATATAGATTTAGCTAACTTTCACTATTTTGGGGAGTGCGGCAGTGCCGCACTTTGAATCTCAATTGAGATTCAGCTCAAATGGTTTTACTGCTGGGCCTATCTATTCTTTCTCTTATTCTCAGGTTCGCAGTAACTTCTTTTCCTCTCTCTCTTACCCCCGACGCCAACGTTCGCGCCTCTCTCTCTCCTCTCGTGCCTACGCCGTCGCCGTTGCTTGGCCACGCGTTGCCGATCTCTGGCAGTGCCGCGGCAGCTGCCAGCCCTCTCTCAACGTCGCTGACGGCTGCTACTGCCCCTAGCTCAAACAGTTTCTTCCCTCTCCTCTCTCATCCTCGTTTGACAAGATGGAGCACGGAGATGTGTTACTCTGTGGCTGGCTACGAAATAATTTACGCCTTGTTTAGTTACACCCTAACTTCTAAAAAGTTGCTACAGTACCTGTCACATCGAATGTTTGCGGCCCGTGCATGGAGCATTAAATGTAGACGAAAAGAAAAACTAATTGCACAGTTTGGTGAGAAATTGCGAGACGAACGTTTTGAGCCTAATTAGTCCATGTTTGAACACTATTTACCAAATAAAAACGAATGTGCTTTAAACCCAAAATTCAAATTTCGTGTAGCCAAGTCTGATTAAACGTACCGACCGAACCGTGCTCCACCCCCACCCGCACTCCTCCCCACCCACCCGGCTCGGCTCGTCAAGCCATCAACGATTCAGCACGCCTCACCCCTCCCGGCTCGGCTTCGACATTCCCGAGCCAGCTGAGCGGTGGACCTACCCCAAATCCTCCGTCGCTTGTCCCTTCCGAGAAATCCGCAGAAACCAGAAATCTGGCGCCGCTCCCCCCGTGAAGGCGACGCTGGGCTCGGACGGGCCCTCCACAACCCCGACCACACCGGCGGCAATGACCCCTACATCACCGGCCCCATCTCTTCTGAGATCCAGATTGGCGGCGACCGCCTCTTCCCCTAGCAGATCCGGCCTCCCATGGTGGTGGCGGTGGCCTTCCACTCGACGGCTGATGCGGTGTGTGCCCGACGGTGGCATCTGATGCGGATCGGCAGATGGTGGCTGCCGGCGGTGCCCCTTCTTCTCCGCAGGCGGCAGCGCATGGCTGTTGTGCCTCCTCCATCCCCCTCGGCGTCGGCGCGTCCCGCACCGCGCGGATTGGCCCCCCGGCGGCGATGCGTCCTCGAGCAGCGGTGCCTTGCCTCGCGTGGACGGGGGACCCAACACCAGCGCAACCTACCCCACGCGAGCGGTATGTTGATTGCCGATCTGGCCTTTCTAAGGAAGACGACAATGTTGATGTGCATGAGGTGCTCTTGGTGCAGATCGAAGAGTATGGTTTACTGCCAAGCTGGATTCATGGATTATGGGTTTCCAGTACCGCCATCCGCACAGACGGGACAGGATCATCACATGAGCATCCGCACATAGCCACTTCAGTCCATCAGCCCTCAGGTTCGTGACTCCTGTAGGCTCCTTTCTTGATTAATTGTTCGTCAGTCATTTATTTAATTCCATTTGTCTGATTAGCCATCTGGATTTTGGTAGCTGTTGGTGACTCCCATAGATTGGAATATTGTTTATTGTTGCAGATCTATTGGCCACATTAGCCAGAGTGCGTAGGTTTGTAAATCCTATCCATTTTAGATTGTGTCAGGTTTGCTGTTTTTTAAACCAAATTCTTGAATGTCAGATCCCTTGTTTAGTAAATTCCTTTGTGTCTACTACAAAATATCATAACTATTGTATGCACTAAATCAGTGTACATTAATCTTATGATAATAAGCATTGCTGCCTTATGCTAATTATCACGATTTACTGCTCAGACATTTCAAGCAATCACGTGTTTGTCCATTCTTCAGACATTATTAGTATCCTGTAGTTGTTTACATTATGATTTTTCTTGGTAACTAATCACTCTGTCATTGTGTATTTTCTTTCTACTCCTCACCCTATGGGCAGATTGTAATTTTTGTTTTATTATTCTAGTAGATCTGTTGGTCGCTTGAGCATCCATCACAAATAGAACTAAAGAGGTGTCTGTCAGGTGTCCTTGTATATATCTTTTAAGAAAACATTTTGTGGATAGGCAGTGAGATGGACCAGTGCTTGATAGTCTTCATGCAATGGCAGGTAATTGTTGCCTTTTCCTCTTTTTGATATAGAACAGCTTACTAGTAAATTGGTCCTATGCCTGAACTGGTAATGACTCGTACAAAAGGAATACAGAGTAGTTCATTCAAAAATTCTTGTATCTCACTGTTCTTTGATTTACAAAGGTAGTCTAATCAGAATAGATTATAGTGATTCATCTGATGCAAAATTTTGGTTACTCCCTAACTAAATTACTGATTCAAATTAGTGTAATTACTTAACAGCTTATTGGACTCCTCATTTGATCAGAATACCATGACCTTAAATTCTTGTAGCTCCCTACCTTCAATATGGTAATTTCGATCATCCTTATTAATTTTTATCGTCAACCATAGTCCAAAATTCTTGTAAATACTTATATTCATAGTACCCATTTCTCGTAAATACCGGTGTAAGTTATGTCGAAGGAAAATTCATAATATAGAATTCTCGTAAATATTATTAGTGAAATTCTTGTAAATATTGTTAGTATTGCCGTAAGCACAATTCTCATAAATATTATGTAACTTATACTGAAGTTACGATAATTTCATTCATATGGTATTCAAAATTTGACGTAAAGCATTGTGGAATTACTGTATTTTTTACTAATATATTGTAACTTAGTTACTGTTATGGTACAAAATTATCGAAAATAACATATCGATCTTTCCAGTAACCAAGTCTGTGTTACGGTAACTGTGTCCACCAATTGACGAGCCTGCATGTAGATGGTTCAACTATCAATTTTTCTTGCTCCTGCAGTTTGAAATAACAAGCTTGCTTTCTTATTTTGCCGGTGAGACCTCCATTCTCACAGTGATGTTTTCTACTTTTCACCCTTGCAGATTGAAATCGATTTGATCTAGAAACCAGAACTGAACTACCGGAATTAATTCTGGTGGTTACTTAGGCCAAGGTTACAGTAAATTCATTTGTTCTTGTTAATGATTTATCATGTATCTTGGTTAGCTTATAATGTAAATCACTGATGTGTTATTCGCTCTAATGTTCATTCACCACAGATGCACGAGAAGGGGCCCAAATTTGGGTCAGAGCTGCAGTTCTACTTGCTTTTACCACCCACTTCTACTTGCATATATATATATATATGTTGTGTGTGTGTGTGTGTGAAGATATTCCGAAGTTTCCAGGCCAAACCAACATCTCAGTTTCCTAAAAGAGGCACACACCGACGCTGCTGAAAAGCAAATGCAAGTAGTCACCACCATGGTACCATGGCATGTTCGTAAAGCACTGTATACCAAACAAAAGAAACCCCAAGAAACAAAAGGGCGTGGTTCCCTTCCAGTACCCAGCATGGCACTCACATAGTCACACGCACAAGCAGGCCATGCTTTCTCTTCGTACCTGAAGATTTTGCTGTCTCTTGGAATGGAATTGCACATAGTATGATCGATACAGCTTTGGCCACAAGATCGCCATCAGAGCCTCACAGGCTCACAGTGCCTAGCTACAAGGCAGGCCAGGTAATGGCACAATGATAAAGGAGGCATCAACCGGGCACATGGGGTGTAGGCAGAACCGTTCCTCCTTTCCTTCGTGTGCTCCATTTTCTTTGTTCCCTTGGCAGAATCGAAACTAACACAAAGCAGCACTGTAGATATTGCATTGTCCCTATCATAGCAGCTGAGGCCTGCAGCTAGCATCTTGGAAAGATCCGAGTCTAATTTCCAGCTGCAGGATTATCGATATTATGTACTGACATGTGATGGATCTCTGAACATGAAGGTGTAGGGAATACGAAGGAATTTCTCAGATCCTGATTCCTGCACAGAAAATGTCTTGATGTTAAAAGCATAAACAAGTTGGCAGTTGTAGGAAATGAAATCGGTGCTGATATACCCAGGCATTTGACCACAAGTAACACTAACAGGCTTAAAATCTGTCTTTATATTTACGGAGAAGTCATTAACAGATGAAAGTATATTATTGAACACTTACAACCTCAAGACCTGCATTGCAATTTGCAAATATAATGAACAGTATATATCCTTAAAAGAATCTACAAATCTGAAGGAGCTGATCAATGTAACGTGTCGTACAGAAAGTTCAACAAATGTGACAAATTGGGTGGCTTATATGGGAATAATTATAAAAATTATGTATACATCAATAGAGCAGTTTTAGCACAATCTGCAAGATGTGAAAATAACCATGATGAGTTCACATCGGCTACAACAATTTTGAACACCATGCAGATATGAGTCTACTAAAGTGGCAAAATGTTGGTGGTAATTTTGTTGTTGTCAACATGCCACTGTATTGCCTGGTGTAATAGAAAGAGTGTGGTATAGATGCTGCTGTTCCACACTTATTCGGCTGGTATTAAAGTCGGCTGATAAGTCACCTGAAGCTGTTTTGTTATGAAAGAAAAATACTGTAGATTCCAGCTGATAAATCGGCTGATAAGATCAAGCGAACAGACCTTATTCAATAAAAAATACATTCAATGCACATTAACAGTCTGACGGCAACTTACTAAATTTTAGAATTACATGTATCAGAAAGCATGGCAAGTGAAGCAGCCACTCAGCGAACTGATTTGGCCATTCTTGCTAAGCTGGGCTCTCTTTTTTGCCTTCCTAGAGCCTTTTCCATCTTGGTTTGCTGTTACTGCATCACGCTCACGCTCACGCATCACCTGGGCTTTTCTTTGAGCAGACTTGAGGGTGTTCAAAATCTTATCCAGCGAAGAAGATCTTTTCTTCTCGAGCTTAATCTGATATCATAGAAGTGTGGGTACAATTCAGGGTCAACTAGATACATTAGATATAAATAAAATGTCCTGCAAACAATCCTAGCATCAATTCAGTTAAAAATAGTGCAATACAGTTCAAAATAGAGCAAAGAACATACCACTAACTTCTGAATTGCTGCCTCAGCTTTTGCTTTTTGAATATTCTCCCATGCAGTAATTTTTGTGTCCTCTCTATCAATCCTTATAACATTGTAGAGACTTGTCAGCTTTCACAATTTGTTGGTGTAAATATATATTGAAAATTTAGAAAAATCTTGAGAAATGGTTAGGGCTTGGACACATTTAGAAGTTAGAACACACAAGCATGACAGAGATCTCATGACGCATAAGATAAAAAATATTAGGAAATTTGGCTTCAAGAAGGAAAATAATTGAATATGTAGTGATCTGTGATCTCTCTTACTTAGATATGCACTTCGCTTCGGCAAAGCCCCAGGACGGAGATTTTGATTCCACTGTCTTTTCCTTCCACTCTATTATGTTTGTTGAATTCTTGTTAGATGACCGTGTTACATTTTTCTTTGACCACCTAGTCAGAGTCACTCGATCATCCATCTGAACATCCCTGATATCAAGATCTGAGGAACAGCTCCCGCTATCTTTCACTTGTTCTGTTGACAGGGAACCATTAAATGTTGGTCTATTGTTGGGCGAAGAGGACCTACTTAGCTCTGGGCTGGTCTGGGTTGCAGCATCTTTCCTAGAAATTATAGAGACAATAGAAGCTGAATCTTCTGTGACTTCAACCTGCTCGTCTGAACAAGACAACAACAAAGAGGCAGCAGATTATGATAACTTTCTACAAAGATCTGCTGCACAACTTAAGGTAAATAGCTTTCAACTTATTACTGCAAAAAAACTGGTTTTATAATGCAATTCATGCGGGATTTCACAATGCCTTCTATGCTTCAACAAATATAGATCATAACTCAAACAAAGTGTTTTGTGCTTTGTTAATTACTACTAAATCAAATTTCAACACTAAATAATTGGCTAGAATTAAAAATAATGATGGATATGTACTCTGTGCACAGGAAACAATTTCTAAATACCTTGGATAGATTCTTGCGTGCTAGGCAATGAAGCAGATGATTCGACTGCATAATCTAATCGCTGGCGAACTCTGGAAGTTCGAATAGGAAGAGACCCACCATGTGGACAAATCTTGACTCCTCTTCCAATGCTGATTTCGTCACCAATTGGTCTACCTGAATAGGTTCCATTTGTATTTTTTCCTCCACAAACATGTTCCGGCATTAGTACTCCTGCCACGAAAGGTGAATTTGCTGTAATAGGCCCAGCTCTCCCACTATCAAGCAATGACACCGAAGAAACAGATGAATACTGTCCACCAATCCTTCCTGGAGGCCCCAGGGGGCCACTTTTAGACTTTGGTCGCCGAGCATGAGCAACCGTAGTTCTTCCAAGCGCGTCGCTGGAATTGGGACTGAAGATCCACCTCTCTGCATCCTCCCATTTCGAGGGTAATGTCCTCCCATTGCTGTAAGGAAATGCCATGTTGCTTCCTGGGTATCTCCTACTTCCTTTAGAAGGATGCGGAACTCTCTCAGAGCTCCACCCTTTCTGGCACCCCAACACGGATGCACGGTGCCGCGGATAGTTCGGCGTCCCAGGACTATGAAGCACGTCTGACCTGATGAGTGATGCTCCAAGTCCTTTGTTCATCAACCCCACGCCACCAATCACGAAACTTGGAGAAAACGTGGCTCCATGGTACCCAGGGCTACCGAGGTCAAGTGAGGCCGGCCGCTGTTTCGACCCCTTCCTACCATGCAAAAGAACAGCAGCCTCCGTCTGGTACCGCTGGTTGTGGCATTCTGTCGAACAACAACATACAAGCATACAAAATTGGCAACCCCGCACAACTCAACCGATTGCAAGACTCAAAATTAATACAGTACCTGGGGTGGCACGGCCTGCCGGATTCTTGGCCGGTTCTTGTACCTGAGCCCACTCCTCTTCCTTCACCCCGCACAGCACCTCCTCCGCTTCGTCGTCCTGCCGCTCGGTAAAGGCTGCAGAAGCTTAACAACACTAGCTCGTTTTAAAGGGCGGTCAGGTTGCTCTCAGACCGATTGAGACACTAGTAAGGATCCAAACTCTGAGCTGGTTACAGCGTTGTGCTTACCACTGGAGGAGGAAGTGGCCAGCCCATCTGTCTCCAGATCTGTATCTGGGTCACCATCTGGGCGCACGAACCCGGCCAAAGGCTGCAGGCAACCATCATCATAGCCTCAGTGATTAAAAGTAGATCTCAGAAAAAGGGGAACAAAAGGTGAAGAGAATCCAATGGCGCTCGTTTTTTCTTGTCAGGAAAAAAAAACACCCTCCTTTTTGTTGCTATAAAGATCTAAGATGGTGATGATGATGCCTATAGCTCAAGTCAAAAAATTTCCGGGCCCTCCTACTTTGTCTACTTCGCTGATAACAAATTCATCCTGTACCATTCGTTCTCTGTGAAAGGGTTGCGGTCACCTGAGAGGCTGAGACAGGCCATAGGCAACCTAGATCGGCATGGCGCCATGATGCTGACTGCCACCAGCTAAGCTAGTGAAGAACTAAATCTTTTCCATCTGTGAGCACGTCCAAGTGCTGAAGATTCAATCTTTTCACTCCAAAAGGTGAATGCCAGCTCAAAAATGTTTCCATTCCCCATGGCGCTCAATGCATGCATCATTTTGATGCCAAGCAAAAAGCAGATTCGTCCATGGGCCATCAAAATGAAAGCATGAGAAAGAAAGGGCAAGAAACTTTGCAAAGAAGGACCAGGAGTCCAGGACCAACCGAGTCACAGCCGAAGGAATCGCAGCAGCTGCTCCCGCCGCCGCCCGTGGAGCTCGGCGAGTAGCCGTCGTCCACCTCCGCTCCCCACCTCCGCCGCCGCCGCTGCATTGGCCGCTCCGGCGCCGAAACCACCGCCTCTTCTTCCTCCTCCACCACGCCCCGAAACGCACGCCCGGAAGCACCGCCGCCACCCCGCATTCTCCCGGAAATAAAACTGAAATCTTTTAGCCGCTGAACTCGCTCAATCGCCTTCGCCAGCGCATGATAAGCGGGGGGTGTGGCAGCGGGGCAGCATGAGGTGTTGCCGTTTAATAGAGGTCGCTGGGGCGGACTGCGACGTGGAGGCAGGAACGGCATCTCGAGGAGGGAGAGTGGGAGACTGACACGGGGTGCGGTGAGCCGGTGAGGTGAGGTGAGGTGAGCTTCAAGAATGTCGCGTGCGTGCGTGACGATGCGCTCGACTGACAGCTTCCGACCTGGAGCGGCGCCCACGTCCGTGCCGGTGCTGGACTGCTGGTGCTGTGCAGTAGCCATGGTGACTGGACCTGTTTCGTTGCCGAGGACCACCCTGTTCGCTTTTGCTTACTTTTTCCACCACTTAATAGTATTTTTCTTTCACACTAAGGCCTTGTTTAGTTTACATCAAAATTCCAAGTTTTTTCACTCTCTCTCCATCACATCAATTTTTGGACGCTTGCATGGAGTATTAAATATAGGTAAAAAAAAAAAACTAATTACACAGTTTAGTTGAAAATCACGAGATGAATCTTTTGAGCCTAGTTGGTCCACGATTAGACAATATTTACCAAATAAGACGAAAGTGCTACTATTCATCGGGTTGAAAAAATCTTCAATCTAAACAAGGCCTAAATATACTTTTAGTTATGACTTATTAGTCAAACAAGTCTAAATAAATAGGACATAGCTTCTTTTTTTTTCATGAACCTGCTATATATGGACCCTACGTGGTACGCGATTCGTCGCGAAAAAAGAATTACACGGTACAGTTACCGAAGAATGCTCGTAGCTCATATTACAAGCCACTAAAGCAGGGGTAAACAATCTGATACAAAGTACAGTTACTGAAGAATGCTCGTAGCTCATATTACAGGCTACTAAAGCAGTGGTAAACAATCTGATACAAACTAGAGCAACACCAAAAGAATTCGAGAGAGACCTGTTGACAAAAAAAAAATATTTGTCGTCAAGGGATGCAAGAAAATATTTGACGCGACAAGTTGTTTATAGTTACTTTAAATGGAAAAACTTGTTTGTGTGCGATTTGAATTTTATCTACACGTATGCTCACAATGCGATGTGTGGTTAACTTCTGTTCTTTCTCACCCTCCATCGCCCCTCCCTCTCAAATCTGATGACCGACGTGAGTTGTGGGGTTACGGTTTTAGGTTGGGGACTTTGTGCTCTCCGCTTGTAGTGGGATGTTTGGGGAGGAAGTTGACCATGGTGGTAGTAGTTGAGACAGCAGTGGCGCAGTGCGTGGGGCGGTAGGGGCGCCACTCGCCAGGCAGTGAAAGAGGTTGGTTGGACGATGTTGGTGACGGAGACTTTGATTTTAGAGGAAGATGATAGCATGGATTAGCGTTGGTGGTGGACGAGGGCGGCGACGGAGCACCTCCAGAGCCGGTGGGAGGTGGTGAAGGCGAGAGCGCTCGGCCAAAGAAGGAGAAATTGCCTTTGATTTAGCGACACTGATGATGGAGATGGCGTTGGCACCGTCGAAGCCGGGTGTGATGGTGATGGGAGGACGGGGGAAAGTAGATGTAGGAAGAAGTGAAGGTGTGCGGGCACGACTGACTCTGTGCACACACGCCTCTTCGGATACCCATAACTAGACTTTTTGGCTAGGCTCGTGGTCCTAGGTAACAGAACCGCGCCATGACGAACTTTGAAGTCGGTGTAGCAATTAACCAAACAACAATCCTAGTCTTGCATTTTAATGTGACAGCGTCCTCCGTAGTTGTTCGTATCCTGCTTATTTGCTGACCGATATTGTTGATATCCGATAGTACTTACTCCGTCCAAAAAAATGCAACTATAAAATTTATGTAAGTTAAACTTTGACCAAGTTTATACTAACTTTTATGTTTCCAACTAGGTTTACTACAAAATATATTTTATAATTAATTATTTAATTTAATTCTACTTATCTTGTGTTATAAATGTAGTACTTTTCTATATGACTTTGGTTAAATTTTAAATCATTCGACTTTTTAAGAGCGAGAATGGATTTGCGGAGGGAGGGAGTAGTTAACAGCTCTTTACCGCGAGATTTTTGTGTCAAAGACAACAGTCAGTGTGTCAGTATAGCAGTCTAGGCAAACACAAAGTTTGATGCGTCAGCCTATGACATTTCAGTCTCTATAAACGCTAAGCAAAGTCCAAACCATCGGTACATCACGATGACCCGATCAACCGTTTACTCGCCACGATTAAGATGACGCATTGGCGCTTATCTCAAACGGTTGGGCAGGTAGTTGCCACCCTGCACTAGCATCGACAAGCGATGGTCATATTCAGATGACAACGCCGCAAGACGACGACGGCCGAGCGGTGGAGTCGGTGGCAGGTAGAGGCCGACGCGCGCGCGGTCCCCCTTGCCCGGCTGCCCCTGGCCCCGCGGCTGCGCTACCCCGTGCCCCAGGGCTTCCTGAGCCACCGCTAGCTCGCACATGGAAATGACGTGAGGTAGTGAACGGTGAACCCCTGCGCTGAGCCGCTGACCAGTCACCAGTGACCACCTCGCCGCCCCGTTGCGGCCTCACGGGACACGGGTTACCCCAGCGTCGGCTGTTGAGCGTCAGGCGATTTGTGGAGTGGGCAAGAAGGTCACCCCATTCCTACAGTCAGGTTCACTGATCATGGTGATTGGACAATGCCATTCTTTTTATCAATCGTGGGCAACCTGCCGACAGATGCCATATTTTTTGAATTGGTACGGTTCATCGAACATGTCATGGAACTCGGGATATATCGTTGCCGCCGGCATCTCGTTGGTTGCGCGCATGAAACACGAAGGTTCCTAAGATCTATGCCCTTGTTTTGGCTTTGGCACATTTCATGTAACGGGTTTATATGGCCCTGGCAGGCCAAAGACATGGAACGCAGTGCCCCACCTAAGAAATAGTTTTCTTCATATCAGAGACTGCCTTGACAAAACTAGATCCATCGATTTCTTTTATCCCTTTCCGAGTTGGTCAGACTAGCTCTTTTGGACCCCTGCAACTTCAAATGAAACCGGATAGCTTGCAACTGGTACCGCAATTGGATGGGTCGGGACCATGGTCGTCCATCTCCGCTTTGTCGGCCGATAAGATCACTGAGATTGACCAACCAGCTGGGTAGGTTTGGCTATTCCTTTCTATTGAAAATGAGTCAGCTATCTACGCGAGTATCCGGGTCTACGATAGAAGCTTCTAGCCTTCTACCGTAGAACAAGTTCGAGGAGAGGCCTTCATACCCTAAGAAATTGAGTTATTGCTTGATTTGCTTGTTTGATTGAGTGGATTTCGGTATCGATTCCAAAGGGAATCCCAAACCAATTCAATCAAGAAAAGTTCTTGCTTTTCGGCTGCTTTGTGAGTTGGTTCCACTGGCCGGCTCACTATGAAGAAGGTTCTGGCATGCTTCGACTTATCCCACCGCCCGCAAAGCAACTCAGTTCTCTTGGGGTGGAAATCCAACGAGGTGACTTGATTGAGCTGTGACCCACGAAAGTTTGTCACCCCTCGCTACCCCATACTCTCTGGAATTTTGCGACGACCGGCCCATGGGCCCTAGCATGGTTACTGGTACTACTGTGCTGGTGTGGCCGTGAAAGCGCATCACGGCTTGTGGCTAGCCCTTGTTTGGCTACCTGGCTTGGGCACTGGGACGTTGCCTGCTACCACGGTCACCATGTCGTTGCTTGGGATCGTTTCCCACTTACACCCATCCTCCTACCTGTCTGATCGTGTCCTGCTTGCACCCTACTAGCTACCTTCATAGGATCATGGCTCCATCGACCGGCCCATGCCACCGCTGCCCGCTGCCACCCCTATCCCTAGATGCTAGCACCCGCTGCCCTAAAGATCACAGTAGACACACTTGCGTGATGCTGATTCAGGAATTTGGCCGAGAAGTTGAGAAATGGAGAAACAGAGGATAAGAAAGGTTGATTCTTTTTTGTTAATGTGGTATTGGTATTCTCTATTTGAGCCGAAACACACCAAGATAGCCTAAGAATGATCAACTTCATTTCCAACCTCAAGTTCGATGTCCAGCCCCTTCTTTCCTAGCTCCAATGACAGAAATTTTCATGGGGGGCGAGGTGGCTTGAAAGTCTCGGATTGGTTTTAGTAGTTAAGTGACAACCTTAGGTGAACTAATGTGTGTCATGTGAAGATTAATAAGTACTTAGTTCACACAACACTAGGATGAGCAAGCAATGAAAGTCATGATGGAGAGATGGTTGTGCATGTCATGCTAGTGCCCAAACTAGTGAAGATGAAGAAGCTGATTGAATATAAGACATGACATAATCTCATATGGCTATGTGGAGAAGATCAAGACGAGGCTTGGCAGGCGAAGGAACGGTTGCAAGAGTGAAGGGAAAGCAAGAGGATCAGGTGCAATGGATTGTCAAGGCAATGAGGCACGAGTAGAGGGCTTGGCACTGATGGACCGATGCAATGATAGAGAGAAAGAAAGTCTAGGATTGATGGACCAATAAGACCATGTGAAGTTATGAAGTGGATCATATCATTCATATATAGAAGATGAAGCCAAGTGTTGATTTGTGTTGATAATCAAGTGTCTTGATGGATTGATGAAGAAGGAGCTTCATGCCATGAGCAACGGTTGAGGTAACGTGGTTGGATGCACCTATGGATGACCATTGTTCATCGATACAAATGGAGGTTGGATGCTTGAGTGGCATCACCAACATGGAGATGGAATAGAATGCACAAGGCAAAGGTATATTTATAGGGCATTTTATTTCACCGGTCTAAGGTTGAGTAGAGAAGTGCTCGACCGGATTTAATATAGATAGACATACTATCAAGAGGAGCATTCTTGTGAGCTATACGATTATCTAGTGCCACTATGTGAGATCTAACTCGACAATGCATTTAGATCGAGTGGCGTGAAAAGGAAGCAAGAAGAAACCTTTACAAAATGACTTTGAAAACACTAACTCAGGGTCAAATGGTTTTGAGAGAAGGGCTCGGTGGAGGCTTTTTTGCCCCATCGGATAAGTCCGATACCCAGTGACGGTTGGCATCGGAGCTTAAGCTCTTTACTGCATTGTGCCATGGGATAATTGCGGTGCTTCCTAGAGGGTGAGCACCGAAGAATAGGGTTACTTGTGGACCACGCACAATAATCGGTGATTCCATTTTCCTAATAGACAATTAGATCTGAATTGATCTATTATTAGTTATGAACTTTAGAAAACAAACCCATTTTGTTATCATCTTAAAATACAAAATCAGATTTGAACCAATAGATGGCCAAATGTATCTAATATTAAAAGT